CAGCACAGCCTTAAATAATAATTTCCTTTATGCTGCTTTCAAATGTACCTGTGGGAAAATAAGCTCCCTCTAGTGGAGTATCTGTGGGACACCCTGGAGTTAATTATGGGCAATTTCATTTGTGTATTTTGCCAATCAGGCTGACTCTCTTGGAAAGAGCCAAATTAGTTTGAAAGAACACACAAAAACAACAAATTCACTTAACTTGCTTAAGTTGTCTTTAACTCTCAATCCCCGACCCAGTGGAGGCTTCGACAGGAGTTATGTCAGCATCACCAGCTTCAAGCTTCAGTATTGGCAGCTGTGGTGATACAGCTGTTTTCTACCTCAACCTTACAGAGACGAGACATAATTACAGCCTCTCCTCCACCGGCCCGTATCTCCCATCATACCTTCACAGCCAATCACAGAGAAGCACAGTGTTGAGTTTTTAATAAGTGTGACCTTTCATACCCAGATTCCTGCCCTGACCTTTATGCCAAACTGATTTTTTAAAATTTCTCTCTCTCTCTCTCTCCTTCAATCTCTGTCTTTATTAGTATGGATGGGGCAGACCTCTGTTTTGAGATTGTGAAGAGGGCAGATGCTGGCTTTGTCTACAGTGAAGCAGTGGCCAGGTGAGCTTCAATGCATTTTTCCTTAAAGGGGCAGTTCCATCAAAAAATAAAAACTACATAGGTTTCCTCTTGCCTATAGTGTTATTTATACTTTACAACAGTTTTGGTATGAGCTGAGTCTCATACAGATATCTGCCTTCTCTTTAGTATAATGGAACCAGATGACACTCGGCTTGTGGTGCCCAAAAAATATTTGAAAAACAGCAATGTCTTTTTTAGCTGAGGAAGATGTCAGCAATGTTTACAGCCTGCATGAATAGCTCACAACAAGATCTGTGGATTATCTTTAGTAACAGGGTCATGATTTCTGTAGTTTTTCAAATGTACCTTTCTGGCACTATGAAAGTCAACCAAAACAATCTAGATGGAGAAATGGCACTACAGGTAAGATGTAAAATGTGTGTTTTTCATTTTGCTGAACTGTTCCTTTAAGACACACTGTGCTGATATTCTGCAACCATTACTTACATGTAAAGAAACCCTTCATGGTGTTATAACAATATAACTGTACGCTGTCTTTTCCTTAGCCACTACATGAGGCAGATCCTCGAGGCGCTACGCTATTGCCACGACAACAATGTCATCCACCGAGATGTCAAGGTATTTCTGACTCACAGTTCATTTGTTTGCAGTGCAACCGTACTTAGCTGAAGCTGCAAAGGCATTGTGCATGCAAAGAGCTGTATAGTATGTGGTTGCAGTGCACTGCAGACACATACATGTAGACCTGCTGATGTCCACCATCTACAGGAAACAAACCTAATAGCTGCTGAGAATGGGTCCTGTTACCACATACTGTAGTTACTAGTATATTAGCTACACCTAGCTAACAGTAATGCAGTCTAACACAACAGTACTGCTGTAAATCTCCCTTCATGAAGCTTCTAATGTGCAGTTTTTGTTGAAATTGTTATAGAAAGGTGATGATAAAACTGTAGAACTATATTTGGACCCAGTTATTTTATTTTATGTCCTTGTGAAATCTTATTGTTAATTTATTTTAACACTTACTTTATTCTTAATGTTTTCTTTTTTATCCTTCTTATTGATTTTATTTGTTATTTTTGTCAGTGTAGTTTTTATTAAACACTATTGTTATACCGTTAGAATGTATTTTATTTTTAAAATGTACCTTACTTAGTTTTTATTCCATTCTGTCTTATCAGCTTGTCGGTCATCTGTGAAGCACTTTCAACTGCACTGCTAATAGTTGCTAGACAAATCAAGTTTGATTGATTAATTGATTGATTGATAGTAGCTTGATCGTAGAATGGTAGTTGACGGTAAGTTAAACAACAGTTTAGTTCAACAATTCAATACCACCACAAACTACATCCTCCAACATGGTGTTAAAGTTGAATGTACACCTCTCTAAAACAGTTTAAATGATAGTTAATTGAAAAAAAGACTGTTGCCTCAATCAGATAACAGCCACTGTTATTGTAGACTCCATTGTCTGATGGTCAAATATAGCAAAACACTTATGCCTGGGTGTGCAATTTTCCATTTTTATTTTACTATTCAAATTATGTTCAACCAATAGATTGAGATGAAAAGTTAACAAGTCGTATTGTTAATGTACTTAGGACTTTGTGGAAAACAGTTCTGACACCAATTAAAAGCACAAAAAGAAAACCGCAGCTGTAAACATAAAAGGAAAACGGCTCTCCGCCTGCTGTGATACAAATGTGAGAACTGCAGCAGCTTTTACTTTCTTTGCTCGTATGTCATTGTGTCTACAAATGCAGGTCTAAACTGCTGCTGCTGCTTTCCTTTCCTGTAGGTGGCACCTGTTAGCATGTGTAGTGGTCTGACAGCGAGTTTAGCATCTTAAAATGTCCCTGCCAGAATATCTTCATCAGGTTCATTTCAGCTTGCCACCTTCCTCTGCTTGACTTTTTTTTTTTAATTTTTCCCAAACAAAGCAGTCTGTCAGCTTTCAACATGGGCTGTTCCAATGTGTCTGTTATTGTTCGGTAACCCTGTTCTCTGCTGAAGAGCCACAAACAATTCAGTTCCAGTAGTGTGTATGGTTGGTCACACTGACAGGGTTCCTACGGGTCCTTGAAAACATAGAAATTTAGAGACTAGTTTTTCAGTCATGGAAACATATGGACATTGATTGATTGGTTGATTGATTGGTTGGTTGGTTGGTTGGCTGATAAAAATTGGAAATACAAGGCCTACTGGTAAAATATATGACTTTTTGGGAGAAAATTCTGTCCTGTAGGGTCAAGGGAACTTCAGGAAAATGTCCTGGAAAATGATTTCTTAAAAAGCGTGGGAACCCTGCACTGATTAAAGGCCAGATGTGTTTGGAGAGAAAAAGTGAGAGATGGTTTGGCATCCATCAGCTCACAGTGCGCCCTCTGGAGGATCATCCTGTTATATCAAGGTGTTGGTCAGCGACAAATTTGCCAAACTCGCTGAATATAAAAAACTTTCATTTATACAATTTAAGACAACTAATGAGTTTAAGTGTTAATGAAACCCTGGCTGCAGCCTGCTGTGTGGTAGATGGTGGAAGTAGACTGACAGCTAGCTTACAGTTTGCACAGTGGGAAATCCACATGTCAAATACGAGACTCCCTCCTATTTCCACAGAATTGGTGGGGGGTAAAAATAAGGCTTTGCCTTATGTCATCTCCCATGTCCTCCGTCACACTCTTGGCGTTCACAAACAAGCAGCACAAAAAACAATTCCCTCAGCAGCCTCCGTGGTTGTGAGTTTAATGGTTTTTATGTGATATTCACAGATCTCAACTGCAGTACTTCCTTTTATATGTATTTTTTTTTTTTTTTCTAGAGACTCATAATGGCATTATATGGCCACAGTCAGCTACTAACTTGTGGATCTCTCTCTTCACTCAGCATTGTGCTCAGGTATTAGTCATTGCAGCCTGTACAGCCATATCTCTCTGTCTTCAGTCCACTGGCTACCAGTAGAATCACTGGCTTAGGCCCATTGTGTCTGTGTGAGTGATAGCCAGCCTGTGAGTTCAGAGGGGCATGAGGTGATACGGCTGGCTGTTTACATGCACTGTGTGTGTGTTTCAGTGCAACTCCTGGTTATTAGAGTGATACTGTCTTTTTTTAAGCTATTTCCTCTGTTTCCACCACCTATTTGCCATAACTGTGACTCCACATATAGTTCCTACATGGACTGACATGCCCTTTTTCCTCCTTTCATGCCTCCACCCTCGCAATGGCCATTTCTGGAGGCATTATATTTTCGGTTCGTCCAGGAACACCTTGAGGGAATTTTACAAACGTCCACTTGGACTCAAGAATGAAGATAGATTAGATTAGATTGTGGTGGTCAAGGATAAAAGGTCACTGTCACCTCACAAAACGCATTATTGGCCATAAGCCACCCTAACTGTGACATCATAATGTCTTGTAAACACCTTTTTAGCCATTATTCAACACCCTAACTAGGGGTGTAAGAAAATATTTAAGAATTTATATTGTGATATTTTATTTTGTGATATTGTATCGATTCTCAAAAACACTGTATTGATTTTTGTGTTTAAAACCCCCGGCCACTAGATAGCAGTGTTGTAAACTGAAGTCTGTGATGTTGGATAGGTGTTGCATATAAGGGTGTGCTCTTTGTACTAATTTTCCTAAAATTAGATTCAAAAACAAAATCCCAATATATATTGCCCTGCTTACAGTATCACAATATATTGAATCGTAACCCCTGTATCGTGATACGTATCGTACGGCAGATTCTTGCCTATACACAGCCCTAACCATAACTCAGGAACAGAAGGGAGGATTGGGACCATATTTCACAGTTGGTCAGAGACTGAATTGGTGACACTTTCGACTCACTGGTCACTGTGACCTCAAAATAGGTTTTTAGCCATAATTTAAGAATGAACTCGACTTGTTCTGAATTTCACCTGACTAACAAACAGCGTATCACAGTGTGCTGAGCTAATGCTGATCCTGTGAGTGAGTTTTACCTAGAAGAGAGAGAGACTTTGCATATAATAATTCCAGGAGAAAATTCATATGAATCCTTCAAACACTTTTACTGCATATTTCAGTCTGGACAGATATGGATGTGTACTGGAATTTGAATGGCTGGCAGAGGAAACTTTGCTTTATTGTCAGTAGGTCAAATCTCATCCTTCACATGTCACAAAATCAAAACACAGCACCAACACAAAATCTCTAGTCCAAATTCCAGTCCCAAAGGCAGCAGGCAGCAGCATCTTCCATAAAGAAGCCAACATCCATATCCCTAAGTTCCTAAATAGTTCTTCCAGAAAACAAAAGGAAAAAGAAACTAACAACACTCAGAAGAGATCAAGGGAAAAAGAAGAACCGAGATAGTAAATTGCCCCATGAAGAGTACAGCATCTTTAAAGGAACAGCATATATCAGTTTACCCTAGAACAAAGTCAGCCTAGCAAATCAGTATCTCCCTGACTGGACTGACTGGACAAACCCCAGTCCTCGGAACTGAAAAGCTTCTAAATATAAAAGAAAATGCCCAAAACCTCGATTTAAACTAGACCACAATTTAGACTTAATTTCTAATGGTAGAACATAATCGGAAGGTTGGTGGTTCGATCCTCAGCTCTTCCTGCTGCATGTCCATGTATCCTTGAGCAAGATCTGAACCCCATGTTGCTCCCTATCTAATTGTGTGAATGAGTCACTGACTGAATGTGTGTGAAAGGGTGAATGTGGCATGGAGTGTAACATCGCTTTGAGCGGAGCGCTTTGAGAAGAGGAAGCTCTCACAGGTCCATTTACCATTCATGCAGTAAACTTTGCTGGCGATATGTGCTTGTAGAAAGCGTTTCAGCTAGACCTTCACACCCTCCACTCACCTCTCTGCAAAAATAAGAACATTTACTGGAAGTGAGAATGAATTTGCATTAAACCATGTTTCCGGTGCCATATATCTGCCTGAGTGTGCGTCGGTCAAGCCACTGAGAAGTACTTTAATGGCTGGTTTCCTTTTGTGGTAAAAAAATACATCGTCAAGTCAGTCAGTCAGTCAGTTGGATACATTTTTGAGGAGGTCATCTGACCTGGAACCACCACCTCCACCATAGATATTGGATTAAATGTTGTTAAATGTTAATTAGCTTACATCTGGTTACTGTAGCTATGATAGCTTGATGAAGACTCATGCAACATATACAGTGATGCTGGTTATTGTTCATAACTCAAAGATATAATATGTATAATTTTCACATTAAACTGTCTATAAACTCTAGAGCTATGTTCTGTATGTAGTTGAGTTGTGTACTTCCATTATCCCAAACTTGATTCCGATTTTGTCAGAGGGATATTTTAGTTGCAATGCATAAACCCCACATCACAAAGAGGAATGTACATTTGAGAGTTCACTGGTGCAGAAACCACTCTGGTCTACATAGATGTGGAAACAATAGTCAGATGAGTCATCCTTCACCATATACCATACCAAGTGGGCAAACTGCCAATCAATATAAAATTGTTCTGAGTGATCGCCTTTATCCTATGATGAAGCATTTCTTACTTTAAAATGTAATCCAATACCATTACTAATTACCTGTTAACAAATGTAGGCAGTAACCTAATCTAAGTATCACAAT